CAAACACATCCAGACAACGCGCAAGACAGAGACATGTGCGCTAAAGATACTGCGCTGAGGCGAACAGACAAAGGAGAGCATAGGTGAGAGCAAAACCCAGACATCGTGACAGTGGGCGCGTTTTGGTGGGCAAGGGGTGCACTAGTCCAGATCCTAATCCTTACTTTTTGTCGAGAAATCAGCACCAACTCCGCGGGTGCACCCAACAACCTCGTTTGCAAAAAAAAATCCCAATGGAACTAACCGTGGAATGTGCCCTTATTTACAGGCTATTCAACAAATTTACCAAGGAGGTAGTTCAGGGCGGTTCAGTGGTCTTTGAAGCTGTTTCAGACATGTTACGCGGTCACAAGGAACGGAAAATCAGGTTTTTTTTCCAACTGCAAAGCCAAAAAGAAGTAAGAAGTGGTTCACGGTTCGGTTCTCTACGACGAAAAATCCTGCAGTCTCTCTTTCCTTTCCATTTCTGGACCCCCTCATGTGAAAAAAAACTTTGTTTGTCGATAAAAGTGGCCCGTATTTGTTTATTAATATTTGTATTATGCGAAAAATTGCTTCAAAAACGTTCCTCATCCTGAACGACCTTCCTGGGTGTAACCGGTACAAGCTAAGCAATCATTAATGCACAGCACAGGTACACACAACATATTGATTGAATAAGATTATACCTGAAGTATATCACCAGTTTTAAAAGTGACACCCGCTTCGGGACATGGTATCAAATCGTCCTTAGAGGGGTCGTAGTCAAATTGAGCTCGAACGAATATCTCACACGGAGGTGGTGCGGATCGATATGAAGGCACTATTTTGAAGGTTACCTAAATCATATTAATTTTCCCACTTGAGCTCAAAACTAAATAGCACATATAACATGAAGAGAGCTCAAAGAAGATCCGCCTAACAAACCTGTCCACGAGCTTCTTTAAGCATTTGCTGTAGCGCCTCAATTGAGCGGTTTGCGACGCAGACACCACCAATTTCTCGAATCTCATCACCAACGTGCAACGTTGCTGAAGTAATACACACTTTTCGTTTCGCTATCATTAGCAGATTTTCTTGCTTCGAGAATGAACAGATACGAAATTACTTCTGAATAAGGTTTCTTCAAGGAAACAAAAATGATGCGCAAAATGGCGAGAACACGTGGCGCGACCCCAGGTTGCACTTAGGGGGTTGATCACGGGAAGCCACCATACACTTGCCCCGGAACCATCTAAATCCAGAATGCGGACTCCCTTTCCTGCGGTGCCGATTCATACCAGCTATTCTACACGGGCACATCCACGCATGCGCGTGAGCGCATGTGCTCTGCATGTGCGCGGTTGGTGTTCTGCATGTCTGGTAGTCAAAAACCTACTCTTATATTAATGACAAGAATACCTGAGGCGGTAGGGTTCACCTTGAAAAATAAAGCCTCGCTGACAAATCTGGGATAGCCCGGCTAACCACCTGGAGTCGACTCAGCCCCCACCACGAAGCCTCGTAGGCTACTAGTGAATACTCGAACTAC